CTTTCGATTTCATTTTTAAAATTTACAGACCCTCCGGAATTATGGCCAGGGAAGATTAAATTTTCTTTCTACGCGAACTGTACAGAAAGTTTTTCGTTTCATTGATATCTTTTTATTTTTCACTTCTGCCTCTATTTTTTGCAATTTTTAATCTTTAATATTATCGTGGAGTATTTCTACGCCCGCGAAATAACTAGAATTGCGGCTGGGAAAACTTTCTATAAATATATAGAGCTTGCCCTAAGACTAAAATGAGTTTCGATAATGCCGCAGTAGCAAGCCATTATTCCAATTATCAATTTTTTCTTGTTCCCGTTTGCTCGACTGCTGGCAAAGTGTGATCGTTTAACTTTGAGGGAGTGGAGATATCCCAGCAGAATCGTGAATGCGCTCTATTTGGAAAATCAAAATTATAATCGTTGGAAGTCGAAATATGAGGAGCGATGCTCCTGAATTCGTAGGATTTCGCTCGTAATCAGTAGAAATTAACGTAGTGGTCCAGTAATTATTACCGTTGAAATTATTTCCGAAACTGGTGCAGTTAGGGGAGTTTTCTCGTGTGAAAATTGCGCGCGACAGAAAAGGGGCCACCGGTGATTACAATTTCTTTGAGCATGAGAGTCGATTCCACGATACAAATGTCGTCTCGGTTATTTTTCCAACGAAATACTATTACATTTCATCGACCGCGAACTTCCGTCAAACGCCATAACGTGCGCGGTTTTCTCGAACAGGAAACGCCATAAACGATTATTGATATTCGTTATTAATATTTTCTAATTAATATTCGCGTCGTTTCGTATCGTTCAATTTTTATTCCATTTTTAATCATGAATTTTATTATATCCGATGTCTAATTTCTTTCCCTATTTTTAAATTAAACGACGAGCGAAATTGCAACGTATCCTTGAACAAATATCAGAGAGTACGTGACGATGGCACGAAAAGTGTAGAGTTGGTTATTTTTAATTTTTATTTATTTCTTTCACCGAGTAAAAACAAAACGAATGTAAAAGAAATATACCCGGAAGGTGAAAATTCGTGTTTGAATATCAAAGGGGAACAACGCTCGGAAAACGCATCAAAAGTTGACAACGTCCTTCGAGTATAGTAGAAAAAGCGTCATTTTTAATGTCAAGGGAGATCGGAGAGAAGTTTATGCGTCGTTCAACAAACCGTGCACGATCGTATCAACCGTTTGGGATTTGTCTACAAATATCCTCGGTGTTTGCTTCTGTTCACCAGATATACTAGAACTTTCCGGTTAACCTAATACATCTTCGTGTTTATTCTCTGATAGCGACTGGTTTAAACAAACACGATCATCCACGTAACCCCAAGTTAATTCAGATTAGTCAAGGTTAAAAAATTCTCCAATTATAAACGACATAAAAAATTCTAATCAAGATGCAGCAATGTTAATTGGTCAAATTCAATGACCTTGAAATACGTCTAGGACGGTATTTTGAGCAACTTTTCCCTGTACGTACGACCATTGGTCGACTTTAGTAAGTTTAGATTAAGTTTAGTTCAAGTTTACGTTTAGTTTAGGTTAGTTTGCTTAATCCACTAGCATCCAACAAGCTCATTCCAGAACAACGTGAAAATACAAAATTATTTCGCCCTATTTGAAAATGAAATATCTGACCGAATTTCTCTTTTTTTTTTAGTTTCTTAAATAACAAGAGAAAATAAACGGCTACCTTTGTATTAATCCAAAGTTCCTTAATTACATAACTTTTAGAAATCTAGAAATCTAAAATTTTGTAGGTCCCACAACAATTCATATATTTGGAGGTTTCTTTTTAAACGTATACATGGGGGAATTTATCCGTCAAAATAGTTGTAACGCACCTCTCGTGCTTGTCGACAGAGGGCTACGCTCAACTTGCACCTTTCTCGCAAGCACTCGACCGACCACCTATACCTATACAGACGAAAATCAAGAATACCAATTTGTTGATTGAGGCTTCGTTCGAAAGTTATTAAAAAATTAAATTAAAAAATTTCAAATCACATACCACCGAAATCCTACGCACTTTCGAAAAAAAAATTCAGAAAGGTGGACAAATTTTTCAGCCAAAAATAAAATTTCAAATCGTGCTGGAAACATTATTTTCGGTTGCGGGGGTCAATTACAACCATTTTTTGTGAATAGACATACCCCCGAAATCCTGCGCATTTTCAAGAAAAAAATTCAGTACAGGCGGAACTTTAAACGTTAATAACTTCTTAACGAATCCTCCATCTACAAATTGATATTCTTGATTTTCGTCTTATTTTGGCCTCCAGAATCTTCCATTAAAATTTTTCCCAAAGGTGGCCGAACATACTGTATACACTTCTTTTCCTTTTCTTTTCTCCTGCCATCTCGCTCACTTTTTCCATCACTAGCAAGTCATCGAATAGTGTTACAGTAAAATACTTAAAGAAAAATCTTCTAACTCCAAGGAGAAACGAATGAAGAGAATATTCGAATTTGAGAAAGCGAGGAACGCCGTTGAAAAATTTCGAGAAGCTCCGTGGGAAGAACAAAAGCCTCGGAGAAACTGTTTACGTTGTCGTCGCTTAATCGTCGCGACGTTTCTAAATTTCGAGAACTCCGAGGGGGGCGTTGAAAAGCGTCGGAGAAACTCTCGCGGACGCGGAATGCAGGAAGCGATTAACGGGGGGAACGAAACTTTACGGATAGGTTCCGTATATCGCTGGTGGAGCTAGGGTAGGAATATTAGTAAAATTTTTATTTCGAGCGGGGCGAAAACCAGCTATTACCCACTCGGCGAAGAAAAACGCGGGTCCGCTCGTCTCGAGAAGAAGAAAAGCAACCCGAAGACACTGTGCTCGCCCTACTTTCTCGCCTCTTATCCCCCCCTCGTTGCTTCTTGTTTCCCGCCAGCCTTGCAAATGGCTCTCCTCGAATGGCCTGCAATCAAATATACCATACATAAATGGACCGTCCATCCCCGCTCGAGACATTTTAGGCAGGAATGGGATCAAGTTCAATATACAGTGTGTCTTACGAACTCTCGTTCACTTAAATATCTTGATTGTTTCGAACAGTGCGAGAAAATGTTTCCTACGGAAATTGTGAGATTTAGAAAAGCGTGCATAATATCGTATAAATGGTATTCTTGCAAGTGGAGGGCGTAGAGGAGATGTAGAGGTCGAATTTGTTTTTTTTAAACGGATTCATATATTTTTTGATACGCTAATTCAGCTGGTTATTTTCTGTAAGAAAGAATAAAGTTAGTTGTGTCGGAAAGACGCCTGCAATCAGAATTCCATCGATAATGCTGACATTGTTATTGCTACACAAAAGGATATCTGTGGTGAACATAATAATACAGATAAATCGTACTGCTTAGTTTCTATCACCTTGTAGAGAAAAATATTTAATTAAACAAAAAACATGGCTGTCCGTTACATCGTTGCTAAAAAAAATTTTTTTTTTATTAAACGATAGTTGAACGGTGTTCCTTAGAACGTTGACATTTTCAAATTATTTACCCACTCTGTTTTCTACTAAATTACAAATTTTATCGTCAATTTGAAAACAATCGAATCAATCTCCGTCGATAGCTATCAGGTTGTCTCATAAGTTCGTGATGCTCGACTTGTCAATCTTTTCTGTCAATCGCTAATTCCGATGAAATTTGGCACACTGGCAGATCGACCAAAAATATTCGACTGTTATATTTTTTTATCGTCCGCGTTGAGGGGGTGAAATCCGCCCTCAGAATAGAGGCACTGAAACGTATTTACTCCTACATGTCGCAAACGATTAAAAATATCGGAAACGTATAAACGAACGAATTTTATATTTTTTATGGCGAATTTCATTGTACAGACGACTCTGTAAAAAATAGTTTGTTTAAATTATATACTGAAAAATGAGCTTAAGAAGGATAAGTTCGAGTGGAGAACGAACTTGCGGGACGACCTGATATTTCACCCCGTCCGTTTACTTTTCTTCCCGACTGTACAACGCGTGATCAAAAGTACAGAAAAAAAAGAAAAAAGAAGAAAAACCCGTCGAACCAACGGATTTTCGAGAGACTCGCCACAGCGCGGTGGCCCATCGGTGTCGTTGCACGTCACTGGCGGGAAGGGGTTCAACGGTTGGAGGGGATGTAGCAGCTGGGGTGGCTGGAGCTACCTCGAACGCGAGCCCGCGGTACCTACACGCTGGGTCTGGGTTTGGCCGGGTCGCGGCGGGTCCTGCGCAGCCAAAGAGACAGAGGTAGGAAGCGGAGATAGAGGGTAGAAGCACAGTCAGAGGCGAGCAAAAGCGAGGAGCTGGCGTAGCACAGGCAGCAGCCAGGTAGGCCAGCAGGCAAGCAGGCAAGCGGACAGGCACAGACACAGCCAGCCAGACAGGCAAGCAACCAAGCAACCGAGCAAGCACAACCACCGGGCTTGCGAGCCGCCCTCTCGCCGCGTCCGCCGCCCCCAAATCGTTTCCCCCACCCTAGCCCTCCGTCGCCGCGTAGCCCCTCTTCATCTCCCCCTCCTCTCCGCCGTGGTTGTTCGCACTCCTACTCCTTCGACGGTGGTTCCGAGCCGCCTCGTTCGTCCGTACCAGCTCTCTGGTGTCGTGTTCCGTTCCCGTCGCCTCTACGAGTGTCTTGGGTGCCCGAACCTGGACCCGCGTCCGCCCGGTTAGCTGGTTCGCGGGCTCGTCGCTCGTTCCGGGGATCAACCGGCGGATCCGCGAGGGTAGAGGCACTCCGCGTCTCGTTTCGCGCCGCCCTTCCCGTCCGTATGTTTTCTCTCGTCTCGCCCTCGAGAGACAGACACACAAGGGGTTGATCATCCAGTGACAAGGAGTAACGAGGAAAGAGAGAGTAGGGGGTTGTTCTCGTTCTCGTTCTCTCTTCGTCGCGTCGTCGAGATACGCGACGTAACCGGGGCTCCTCGACACGTCGGCCAATCCGACGACGAACACGGGGGGGAAAAGATCGTACGACGGACTTGTGCTTGTGCAACGTGAGCCAGTGACGGCAAGAATGAGGATCGAGAGGACCGACGCCCGTCAGAGGACGACGCGGCTGTGACTCCTGGGTCGTCCGGGAGCCCCGGAGCCTGTGCACACCGGGTCTGAGGACGCTCTGCACGCGAGTCAAGACGAGTACCGAGTACCTTAAAGGCCGGTCGTTCAACGTGGCCGATCCTTGGACATGTAAGTAACAGAAAATATCATCTACGGGCTAGGGTTATCCGTGGCTTCTCGCCCGGATCACCTGGGGGATATCGGGGGTGGAAAATCGGCGCCGTGGCGGGCAGAAAAGATCGATCTGTTTGCTGGAGAGCGTGCGACACTGACGGAACTCGGAACACGCGAGTAAACACTCTCTACGAAGAGAGAGATAGAGAGAGACATATATATATATATATATATATATATACATATATATAGAGAGAGAGAAAGAGAGAGGATGGATTGGCAGTGGGAGGGAGGATGGTCGGGGTAGGTTCGGAAAAAGGAATTTCGACGCGATCGGCCGACTACTCTCGAGGTCGAGGGGATGTGTCTGTGGGAAGAGAGGGTGGAACGGTGTAACAACCGGATCGCGAGCGTTCAAAGCACCCCGGGGAAGATTGCGCAACTGCGAACGAAAGACGGAGAAAAAACAAGAATTCGCCGTCCTACCCCTCCCCCCGCGGAAGATCCTTCCAGCCTCGATACAGATCCTGTTGTGCGTCCGCCATCGCGATTATCTTTCGATCGCCGGTTTTTCGCCGACTGCCTTGACGATTGCTTTCACCGAAGAGTACCGTGTGTACTGGGTGTCCCTAAAAAAACGGTCCCCGTTTGCGTGTTTATGGTAGCAAGATCGAAAATAATTGTTTATGGCCAACAATAACCGTTAATTTGCACAATTTTTGGTCATACGACAGTTAATTTACGTTTTGTTGACGTAAGATAGTGGAATAGATAAATATGTGTCCTATCCCGGAAATATGTTGGCAATTTTTTGGATCGTACAACTCTTTGTCGAACTTTAAACTTTTGACATAATTGTAGTTAAATTAATCCCGTTTGCAGAGGGTCTCCAAGTGGTTAGTTTTAAGGGTGCAAAGAATTAACATAAACAGCCCACTGTTACTTGATCGTAGATAAATTAACACCCTCTTATAAATAGTAACATAAACCATAGAACGTCTTCAAGTGCCTAGACAATCTGTTAGAGTCTGATTTTCAAAGGAGAACGGATCAAGATTTTAATTTAATTTATTACCGTTAATATTTAAATAGTGCTCGATATAAAATTATGGGGACTGTTTCAAGAGAATTTATTATTAAATGTCAGGACACCCCCGACATGACAATTAATTAATTCGTATAAGAATAATAATTCAGCCATGATTCTGCATTTACCCGGAGATATTAATCGTAGTTTCGCAAGGGATTATAGTTGTGACGTGTTGTCGACGTAGAAACAGCTAGTTTATACGAGATAAATGCGAGGAATTTGTGCTGAATGCGTTGAATTATAATAACTTTAACTCTTTGTATGCGATTAAGCTATCCGTTGGCAGTACGGTCAAAGAAATTTTTTACTCAGCTACGAAAAGGGCGATTTTTTAAAGTAAGCAACTTTCTCCCCAGTTTAACATTTTTATTAATTAGATATAATCGTAGATAAATTAACATAATCGTAGCTTACATTGTAACTTGCTATGTTAGTGATGATTTCCTGACGTTTTACGAGACACCCTATGTATGTATGTTTTAATATATGAGATAGGTTCAAATTGATCAGAATGCATTTCTAGCACGTGTAACTAATAATTTGGCCATCCACTGTATCTGTAGAGTAAAGGGCGAGAATCAACGATAGGCTGGTATTAAATCCAACTCTGATAACAGACAAGGGTTAATTTTCACAGGATATACGGATTTAAGGTCATTAATGCTACCAATCTTACGTGGCTTTTTTTGGAAACAAAGGTTCTCTATATTCTAACGATAACGCACAGTATGAAAAAAATTAGTAAATTGTATGTGTGTAACTAATATCATTCTTCTTCACACCGTTGCTTCTCGATGGCGACGTTCTAAAATTATACGAGGGTTGCTTCCAATAATTTTCTAAAAATATTTCACCATAAATAGTTTAGGTAAAATAAATTTAAGCGGAGTAGAGTTTCAAGTATCTATCCTAAAACGAGCCTTCCTTCTATTATATGTAGAACGTCGGTCTAATGTACTTAATATAACAAAAATAGAACAACAAAATTTACTAAATCTTTCACGCACGACGTCAGCCGTAATTGGGTTAATCACCCATATTATAGTAATTATAGAAGTTTAAATCAAGCAATATTATTAACTCTTCATAAAAAGTGGTTGAGAAAACTTTAATATAGTATTGGTACGTAGTAATTGGGAAAAATTCATCACTATTTTTCCGGTGGTAAGAATAGGATCAAACTTATCTATTGTAAGCAAATAAAAGTAGTAGCGTTCTCGAGGTTCAAATTAGTAGCTATTATTATTAACCGATGACAAACATTTACCTAATGCAGTTGATCGTAAACTATCTTTCAAGGTCAAGAACGCGAATAGAAAATCTAATATGCTCTGAATTGATCTCCGTAAAGTGTCTACACGATGTGTAAACAATAGACTCCATATTAACGTATCCAAGTACCATCCAACGAGAGCCACTTGTAGGCATCATACTTAAGTATACTGCTATCCACTCAATAATACTCGTTAAAGTCTATTGACAGTATCTACGATCTTGGTGTAAAGTACAATAATCAATTTTCCTTCTCCCCACATATTATAGATGTTGTCATGGGATCGATCAATTTATTAGGTTCGTCAAACGCCGTTGTTCAGGTTTCTAAAAAAATTCTGTATAACACATCCGTAACCTTACAACTATAATAAATTAAGACAAAAATATCGTAGTCTCACGAACAAGTACTAATTTATTTATTCGTAATAGGATTCGGAATAAAATTTTATTTTGATATACATATTTCGAATACAAATTCATTTTGTCGTATCATTCTCGATAAAATATTCAATTTCAAGTATCGTTTATAATAGAATATTCAATTTCACGTATCATTCGTAATGAAATATTCGTTTTGACGTGTTCGGAATGAAAGTTTATTTCGAATGTGAATTCGTTTTGACGTGTTCGAAATAAAAATTCGTTTGGAGAAATTCCGGATAAAATATTGCCGAACTCAGGATGCGATGCTGCGCGAAAAGAGGGTGTAGAGATTAGGAGGGGTGGGAGGAGAGCAATGGAGGGGAATCTTTTGGGCTTTGAATCGAGTCAAGTTGTGCACGCGTGAAATGTGCGTTCGCGACTCGGCTAACGTCCCGTGAAACGACGTTTGAAATTGAAAACAGTGTCCGTGAATTACTTTCTGGGAGTTCGTTCCTTGCCATGTACGATGTCCACGACGGTCACACGTGGAAACGTTATCGAAATTTTACGTCTCTTATTTCGAGTTGAAAAATTCTTTAGAAAAGATTCGAATAAGTGATTTTAACCTCCTTGAAATATTCCTTTAGCTCATATACAAGCAATCGTACAGTTTACAAGTATATTTATTTAGTAAAGACACTGCATGCATACATATATTCTATAGCTTAAGAGTAAATGTATTTCATAGCTTAAAAACACATACAATGCCATTATACTATAAATTTATTACGGACTAGTTATTCAAACTTGATATGCATTTCAAGGTTAGTTATAGAATTAAGATGAATGGTACTAATTAGAGATGAAATTACAAAAGAAGATACAGTGGTAGGAAGTAGATTAATTGCCGAAGAAACATTGTCCAGTTATATTAGGATATTTAGTAAGGTGGAAGTTCTACGAATCGTGAAAGAAATGTTCGTTGAACAGCTGTGCCCGGTCCAAGCTGTCGTTCATCAAATCTGTAGCACGCCATGTTTTACGGGAGCACCGTGCTGCCATCTAACACGGCCACGTCCTACGACACTCGTACAACGTTCCCAGACACTTTCCAATTGTCGTTTCAACGGTCGTAGCAACATTGTTGTACATTTCGTTGCACAGCTCGTTACGTACGTGGCCTTTAAATGGTAGATAGGTCAGTTCGCGATAAATCGATCGCTTTCTTCCGTCAAAGGTCAGAGATTTTTATGAAATTTATATATCTTTTAGTACACGTGGAATTAGGCGGTATTTAAGTCATCGTTTTGCAGGGTTTGAATTTATTTGAAAAGTGCAGGAACACAAATCTTGCTTACTTAATTTTAAGGGACATCCTGTACGTCCAACGCTTGGTCTAATGCGAATTTTTACTATCGTTAGAAGAAACCGGCCAAAAATAACTTTTTTGATACAATAAAATGGCGTAGTATGCTTTCGTTTAGACGAATAAAAATGGTGAAAATACCTTGGGAAATAGCCTTTAAACATTTTTGCTCGCCGTGACGTTCGTAACTTGCGAGACATGTCGGCAGATAGGATCATCGAGCTACGAACCTGCACGGTGGCCGGAAATCCCAAAAAGCTGGACAGCAGAATGCTAATCTCGCCGTTTCTAATTTATTTCTCCGCGCGTGGAACGTAATTATACGATTTTCGTATTAAAACGTCGTGCGATTAATCCGTCACGGTAGGAAAAATATAATTTTTTCTCAAACCCTCTGAGGGTCCATTTCGACTCTTGGACATTTTATTTCGGAATCGTTAAGTTGTAACTTTTAGTAAATAACGATTCTACAAATGAATTGTACAAATGCGACAACGCAAGAATTAAATTCAGATTCAGGATAAAATGACGCCCAATGTCCGATCGGTTACAGTATAATCCACTTCTCACGAATAAATGTTTTGTTTTATTGTTGTAGAATTTCCACAGTGTAGCATTTCGAAAGCGATTTCCACGCTCGTGTGTTTTCCTTGTTAGCTCGCGAACCGAGCAATAATAAATAGCACGCTGGCGGTTTACTGGAGGTTTATCCTCAGGTTTACCCTCAGGTTTGATACACTGTCTTCCCCGTGAAAAAAGACCAGCGAGAAAGACAGTCGATCAAACACGAGGGTAAACCTCCGATAATCCTCTGCGTCAGCCGTGTCAACCACAATGTGACCAAAGGGCCAATTTACACGTTGTTGCTACGCCACTGCCCGTAGACGTTCAATTACTTTATCATAATCAAAAATATTTTGT